GCCGCAGCCCCCCGCGGCCGCGCCCACTGCGCCAGCGCCGGTCGCGCATCCCGCTCCGCTCGCTCGGTTAGCGGGGCCCTCGGCCAGCCGGGCCGCCCTCCATCAGCGGAGTCGCGCCACTGTCCGGCTGCCACCAGAGCCTTTGTTCCGCGCACGCTGCAACGGCCCTGGCCATTTTGCGCTTCATGGGCGGAACGGAGCGACAAGCGTCCAGCCGGGCCTCTCCACAAGGGTGTTTTTGGGGTGGCAGTGCTGGCGAGGTCCTGCGGCAGCGGACTGGCCCTGGGTGACGCTGGCGTGTGGCCAACATGGTGGAGGGGTCGTTGGTGAGGTGGGGGTGTGGGGGGTCAGCGCGGAGAGGGTGGCCGATGTGTGCTCCTTTGGGCCAAACGAGACCGCGTCTAGTTTGCTGTGGCAGGTGGGCAGGGTGTGGATTTCTGGAGCAGCGCTGGTTAGGAAGGATGGGCTTCTCTGGAAGTGTCCTGGTTCTCCCAGAGGAGGGGGCGGGAGACAGGGCGAGAAAGCCGGTGGAGCCTCTCCAGTCACGGCCTGACCTGTCCACGGCCGCTGGCAGCACAGCCCCAGCAGTGACGAGGGCTGTGTCTGGGGAGAGTCAGAGGGGGCTGTGTTTGGAGGAATGGGCTCGAGTGGCCACCTCTGCTGCTGTCTCTCTGGGAGGACTTGGGGCCACTGGTCACATCAGCCTCAGACTGCGTGCATGGACACGGCCTAGGGGCACAGCTGTGGGGGGAGGGGGATGCAGCATGGACTGCTGGGGACCGTGAGCAGTGTGGGTGGGGTACCACTGCTCGCCACCTGAGGCCCAGGGCTGGGGGATGTGATTCAGTACCTGACAATTGGCTTGACAGGAAAGGGGTGTCTGAGACACCCCCCGCCAGGGGAGGTGACGTGAAAGCTTATCACCAGAGGAGCTGTCGCGCAGGGGTTTGCGGGAGGTAGCGGTACCCAGCCCAGCGGTATGGCCAGAGGGGGTATGGAGATTTGAGGAGTTGGGAGTCCAGGGCCCAGGACAGCCCTGCTCTAAACCAAATGGTCCAACCCCCGGAAGCCAGGATCGTGGCACCGGGCAGGCCCCGAAGATGAAGAAGGATGCAGCCACAGCAAAGGATGTGGGAGCCCTGCTGGGGGCCACTCTGGAGGGACAGTGGTAGGGTCCCTTCTCTGGATGTTGTGTTGAAAGAGGTGGGGGTTTGAGGCTGAGGGGTCTGGAGGTTCAGTGCACGCCTCTGGCGAAGGAAGCTCATCCCCTGAAAATTCAGTCCACATTGCTCTGCTTTTCAGGGTCAGGGGGATTGGCCACTCTGGAGGGAACTGTCCTGAAGCTCGTCCCCTGAACGATACCGTATAGTGCTCATCGCCACTGCGGAAGGGCCGTCTGTCCTCAGATGGTCAGGACCGGCAGGGGACCAGCAGGCTGAGTGTGTCCTCAGGGTCGCAGGGTTTCTTGGGAGAGGAGCAGTGAGCCCTGCGTCTTCAGTCACCCTCCCCTGTCAGCCAAGTTCGATCTGCCATGCCGCAGACCACCCCCGGCCCAGCCTGCCCGGGGTCTCAGGCCGGCGCCCGGGCTCTGGCTCCGTGTCTTCACTCCCGTGACTGTAGGAGGAGGGAGGGAGGGACGGGGGCTGTGCCGGGGCAGCTGGAACAGCACAGGCCACTGGGCTGGCTGGGCAAGGTGGCCGGCAGGCCGGGCAAGGTGGTGGCTGGGAAGGCCACAGGGTGGGTCTTGCACACCACTCACAGTGAGTGTGTGGGCCAGTGGCCAGGGCTTGGAGTCCCCTCTCCCTTCTAGACCTTTCTCCTCAGTGAGCGGTGGGGTTCTGAGCATTCGGGGGAGGAGCCTGCAGAGGTGGCTGGAGTCTTGAGGGGACTAAGTTCAGGGCCAGGCTGAGGACACAGGTACCCAGTGCCCCCCACTACTGCAGGCACATACACCCCCATCTCTGACTTGGTAACCAGGGCTTGTGTGCCCACCTGACACCCCCACCCCATGCCTGACAGCTCCCCATGTTCCGACTCCCCCTCCATGTGAGGCACAGAGCAGCCTCCCCTGCCTGGACCTCACCACTGTTCCTGTGCTTTCTGGATGTGGGGTCCTGACCGCCTCACCCCACAGACCCTGGTGGGGTGCAGGGAGCTCCTACACCTTGCTGTGCTCATTCAGCGCCCCAGCTTGCCTTAGGGGTGAGGGCCCAGGAGTGGCCCGCCCTGCCTGCCTGTCAGTAAAAGTGCAGAGAAAATCAAGGGGGTCTCTGTGGAGAACTCGCCACCATGGCCCTGCCTGCCAGCAAGTGGGCCTCTGTCCCCTTCACCATGGCTCTCAGAACTGGGGTGCACCCACCGAGCACCCCTTCCAGGGCCACACTCTCTTCTAGCCCTGATGTCCTGTTCAGTCCGCCAAGCCCATCTTCCTGCCCCATGCCAGTCATGTCTCACAGTGACCCTCTGTCCCCCCACTATCCGCCCAGTACCCCTCATGGGGCCACACTAGCTCATTCCATCCTGATGTCCTGTTCAGCAGTCCGCCAAGGCCTCCTTGCCTGCCCCACATCAGCCGTGCCCTGGTCAGGGTCCACAGTGGCCCTCAGCCCCCTGGATCGACACCCCAGGGCAGAGCAGGTGTGGACTGGACCCTGGGAGATGTGACCAATATTGAGGCTGGGGTCACAGCTGAAATGCATGCCCCTTTCCCTCACTTAACCTCCTGCCATCAGCCTGTAGTCCTCAATTTCTGGTACCCCCCCACACACACCCTTTCAGGACAGAGTCTACCTGGGACACCAGCTCCACTGGCCCAGCCAGGGACTGTTGAGGGCCTGGAAGGTGTGGCCCGACCCCAAGCCTCAGCCCAGGGTGCAGTACCTTCCAGGGAAGGAATTGGGTCGAGGCATGAAAGGCTGCATGTGGGGGGTGCCTGGGGCCTCTGCCTCTTAGCATCACCAGACCTTCCCCGTGGGGCGCGGAGCACAGGCCATAGCCAGGCCCACCTCCCCAGCCCTGCCCACTGTTCCTCCTGCCCCACTCCCAGTGCCCTGAGCAGTCTGGCAAATGGTCCAGGCTCCCTGTGGTTATTTCAGCTGCTCGCTCTAGACTCGGAGCTTTCAGGGCTCGTGTAGCCATTGGTGGGTGGGTGGGTGGGCAGCAGCCCCAGGCCTCCACCCGCGGCTGGAAGACCTTAGATGAGCCCAGGCCCCAGGCTGGTCAGTGTGTCAAGGATGCTGTCTGCTCCCCTCTCCCTGTCCCTCCTTCCCTCCAACCCAGCCCCTCAAAGCATCCAGTTCAGCCTCTTCCCTATTTGTCCAGTGGCTTGGCTTGGAGGCAGGAAGTTCACCTGGACCACACAGCCTCCAGGGAGCAGCAGGGCTGGGGTGGGTCAGATGGGCACAGGTACGTCACTCTAACATGGGGCTGGCTGGGGAGGGGGTGGAGAGAAGGCGTGGCCTCTGCAAGCCCCATCACTCTAACATGGTTGGGAATTGGCGAGGGGGAGAAACCTTTCTCTACCTCAGTTTCCTCGTCCGTGAAAGCGGACCCTCCTGCCCGCCACCACATTCCCTGATTGAAAATGGGGTCAGACCCCACAGCCACTGTGTCCGCGCCTGGCCAGCCCCGGGGGCAGCGTTCTCAGGCCCCCATAGAGCCCACCGTGGGTTCGGCACTCCTGGCACTTCTTCAGGCTGGTCTTTGGTCTGTCCGTGGGGACACTCTGTACTGTTGAATGTCACTGTACCCACGAAGCTGCCCTGAGGCTGCTGGAGAGGTGACTGCAGGCACCGGTGTTGGCTTTGAGGGCAGACAGCAGTTGCCTCGGGTTGGAGGGACAAGGCACACCTGTGCTTCAGGGCCCTGGGATGAGGGGCAGGTGTCCTGCTGGCGGAGGGCCTCGAGGGCGACAGGACAGAGCACCCTGGGAACCAAGTGTGCAACCTCTGGGAGGAAGGGGCACCGCTGTGTCCAGGGTTCTAGGATGGGGCCAGTGTCCGCTGGAGGAGGTCCCTGAGGGGATGGGGCTGGGGTGGCCTCAAGGACAGGGCACAGGCCTGCCCCCTGCCCAAGGCTCACCTTCCCTGCCGCTGTAGCCTGTGTTCTGGGACAGCGGGCGCCAGCCAGCCTGGGTCGCATTCCCAGATCCCCAGTGTGTGGGCCCAGCCCCAGACTAGGTTTCCCCTGAGCCTGCCATGCTCACAAAGATGCTGTAAGGGGCCCAGGCTGCCCTACCCCTTGGGGTTCCCCTGCACTCTGTGCCTTGGGGACGGGCCTGAGCCTCGGCCATCAGCCATTCCCATGGGACCAGGTCAGATTTCTGCCTGGGAGGTATATGAACCAGGGCTGCCTGAGGCCAGATGGGCAGCCTCCTCAGTGTGGGGGGAGCAGCAGGGGACACTGGACTGGGCTGTCTCCTGTGAGGCCCTACTCCACACTGCCCTGCTGTCTGCCCTCACCTGAGGCCTCCAGCTCAGCCCTGGGTCAACACCTCCACTGCCTGGGCCCTGAGGCCCCAGCCCCTCCACGTGGGGTGCCCACCTACCCCTCACACTGCTCCTCCCCTACAGGTGAGCACCTGCGGATCTGCCCCCAGGGTTACACCTGCTGTACCAGCGAGATGGAGGAGAACTTAGCCAACCGCAGCCGCACCGAGCTGGAGACCGGGCTCCGCGACAGCAGCCGGGCTCTGCAGACCATGCTGGCCACCCAACTGCGCAGCTTTGATGGTGAACAAGGCCCTCAGGGCGGGGGGCCCAGGGTGGACAGCGGCCTGGGAGTTAGGAGAGAGCCTGGATGGCCTGCGTAACTCTGCGACCCCTCCTGGCATGGGCATATGCTCGCGGGGCACCAGGCCAGCCCCTCGCCCACCCTGGAAGGGCCCCTCTCTCCTGGGCCCTGGGAAGTGCTGTGTGCTTGAGGGAGCAAGCCCCAGAGGGCACCCTCTGTCCTGGAGCCTGGGCAGTGCTGTGTGTATAGGGGGTGGGTGACTGTTCCCCACCTGTTGCAGAGGGCACCGTCTGTCCTGGGTCCTGGGCAGCTCTTCAGTCCATCCACACGTGCTGTCCTGCCTCACTTGCCTCCTTCAGAGATGACTCAGGGGGGTCCATGAGCAGCCAGCCCCACCCGAGAGCTGGGCACCTTGGCGGAGCCCTGCTCAGGGCCGGGGGGCTCACTGTGCACGCTCTGGCCTTCAGTGACTGGAACAGCAGGAATTGGGACCCAATGTCATTGGCCCCGGGCTTTTTCAGCCCTGAGGATGGAGCCGGCTGGACAGGGTTCAGGTCTGCTGTTCACAGGGTGGTTATGAGCTGGGCTCAACTCGAGGGCACCTAGCAACCCGGCACCAGTGCCTGTGGCCCTGCTGGTTGGATGATGCTGGGCAAGCTGTCGGCCACGGTCAAACAGGGCTCAAACTAGTGGCCAGAGACCAGCTTGCAGGCACGCGGAGCCCCCGCACTGGGCTCTCTGACCCTCGCCCATCCTGGGGACAAAGGTTCCTCTACTCCAGACTGAGGCCCTCCCCGTGGTCCTGCTCAGGTCACTGAGTGTCCCCTGCTGTCTCAACCACACACCTGCTGGCTCCGATGAGGCCCTACAGTCCACGAGCGGCAGGCACCATCCCCCCACATCTGAGCTCTGTGTGGAGGCCCCTTCACAGGCTGGGCTCCTCCTGACCCCATGTGAACCCCCCACCCTGTGTCCCCTGCGGGCGGCACATTTTCCTTCTTTCAAGAGAATCTCCTCATTGCAGCCCTTTCCTTGGCCAGAGGGCGGACACTCGCTTGGCCAACCCACCTTGCACACAGCCTGCCCAGCCCTGCACCCAGACTCCACCCACTGCCCGGTGAGGGTATTGCCCTGGCCTCCTGTCCACAGCAGCAAAATCTGCCCAAGGGCCCCAGGGAAGTGCCGTGTACCCCAGGAGGACAGGCGGCCAGACAAGGGACATGTGGCCACCACACTGGTCTCTGTCCCTCTGTTCAGGGCACTTGTTTGGCACATGGAGCAAGGAGGCTACAGGTGGTCCATTTAGGACCCACCCCCTAACATGCATCCCTGTAGCGCTTCCCCATGCCCGACTTGGGAGGCCTGCGCCCCAGAGCAGACCACAGGGGCTGGTGGGCAGCCGAGCTGTGGCCACAGAGACCTGAGTTTCCTGTGCAGAAATTCTAGGACCCGAGGGTGCTCTCAGCACCTGCTGGGTCAGGAACTGTGCTGTAGGGTGTGGGGTGCGTGCCCCGCAGTCCACCAGGCCTTTCTTTCAGGGCTTGTGTGGGTGGACACAGGAGCCCGGGGTGCCCGGGGCTGCGCTCATACCCCTCCCTGTGCCGCAGACCACTTCCAGCGCTTGCTGAACGGCTCGGAGCGAGCACTGCAGGATGCCTTCCCCGACGCCTTCGGGGACCTGTACTCACAGAACGCCAGGGCCTTCCGGGACCTGTACACAGAGCTGCGTCTCTACCACCGCGGTGCCAACCTGCACCTGGAGGAGACGCTGGCCGAGTTCTGGGCCCGTCTACTCGAGCGCCTCTTCAAGCAGCTGCACCCCCAGCTGGTGCTGCCCGATGACTACCTGGACTGCCTGGGCAAACAGGCTGAGGCCCTGCGGCCCTTCGGGGAGGCCCCGCGTGAGCTGCGACTGCGAGCCACCCGCGCCTTCGTGGCTGCACGTGCCTTCGTGCAGGGCCTGGGCGTGGCCGGTGACGTGGTCCGGAAGGTGGCGCAGGTATGTGTGCCCAGAGCCCAGGTTCTGACCACCAAGCCCCAGGACAAGCCCCCACAGCCCAGTCCCATCCACCAGGCCATGTCCTGAGCTGCGAGAGAGGGGTTAGCAGCCTGGGGCTGAGGGGGATCAGGCTGGACCCCAATCCTTCCCCCCAAAGCCCTGCCATTCAACCCTCCATGTCCTCCATGGCCTGAGCACCCCTTCTCTGAGCCTGTTCCCCATCTGTCTGGTGGATGGTCACACTTCCTAGGCCCAGGCAAAGTCGAGTAATGGAAGGCCCCCTCCTGACCACAGCCCTCCTCCCCCCCAGCTCGGGGCAGGCAGGCCCCCTTCTAACCACAGGACCCTCCCCTCTCAGGGCAGGCAGGCCCATGGCCCAGGCAGGCTATGACTGCAGTCAGGTCCCCTCTGCCCTCAGGTGCCCCTGAGCCCTGAGTGCTCCCGGGCCATCATGAAGTTGGTCTACTGTGCCCACTGCCTGGGGGTGCCCGGTGCCCGGCCCTGCCCCGACTATTGCCGCAATGTTCTCAAAGGCTGCCTGGCCAACCAGGCCGATTTGGATGCCGAGTGGAGGAACCTCCTGGGTGAGTCAGCCTGGGGCATCAGGGGACATTGAGTGTCCTCACACCATACAGTAGGGCCTCTTCCATCTTTGGGGGACCCTGGACTCCCTTTCCCACACAGTAGGGGCCAGAGGAGAGTGGGGAGACATTGCCTCTCTTCAGGAAACCTTAAGTGTCATCACCCCAAATAGCAGGGGCCTGCAGGAAACACAGGGAGACACTGCCTGCCTTTGGGTAACCCTGAGCCCCCCACCCCCCACAGCAGGGGCCAGTAGAAAGGGATGGGGAGATGCTGGTGTGACATCAGGAGAGGCTGCGACTGGGGAGGGGACAGAAGAGGGACAGATCCCATGTACACAGCTTCAGTAGTCAGGACTCAGAGGTGCCCAGGGACCGATGCCTGGGAGGTGGGCCTGGTGGGGTCAGGAGCTTGAAGGATAGGCCAGCGTGGCTGCATGCAGACAGGAGCTGATGTGCGTGGTGTTTGCACTCACCTCTCAGCACCCGTCGCTGCTAACACGTGAGTGGATGTGAACTTGTGCCCACATGCGGGCCCACAATGACCTACGTGCACTTGCCACATACATGCAGGTTGAGCTCCTGTGTACATGCTGGCGTGAGCCCCGTGTGTCCACGTGCATGAAAACATGGATGTGCCACCACGTGTGTGTGTGCCACCACGGGGGCCCACACGCCAACACCCACGTTCCAGTGTACATGCACAGCTGTGAGTGTGCCACACACACATACACGTCAGTACTGTCACGTGGCACAGAGCACACACCAGCACCTGCACGCATGAATGAGCACACACCTGGGCCGGCACACACCCGGACTGACACACACCGGGACCAGCACACACCGGGACCGGCACACACCCGGACTGGCACACATGAACAAGCACACACCCGGACTGACACACACATGAACAAGCACACACTGGGACCGGCACACAC